TAGTCTTCTGGTCGTTGCTTGTTCTTGGTGTTCACAGGCTTATAACTGAGCCACTCCTGTCTCTGCCCCGTCATTAGATGGCCCATTCTTTGTAGGCCCGTGTGTCCTGCTTTCTTTGGGGAAGGACACCAGCCTTTGGATTGGGGCTTTCCCTAACCTGCGGGGTGATTTCACCTTTCACATCCTTCACCAGACCTGTTTCCCAAAAAGCCACATTTTGAGGTTCTAGGTGGGGCACTATTCAGCCTGCTACTAACCTTTAGGACATTCTTTCCTTCCTATTCTCATAAACACATGGTTGGATATATTAGGGATCATTGTTTTAAATTAAGTACATTTAAATTTTTTAAAATTTTTATTGATTTTTTTGTGTATTTCATACAGAACATCTTAATCATCTTTATACCCTGCTCTCTACTAGCCTCCAACTTGAATTCATATATTCTGTCACTTGTATTATTGTCCCTAGATGTCCCTCAGTACATATTCACCCATTGAGTTCTAGTCAGCCTATCTAGAGTCCCTCCCTTCAAGAAGATCCACTCTTCCTCACCCAGCAGTAATCAGTTGCTAATAATTCTTCAAATAAGATTGGGGCTTACTGTTTATTTCCACCGTTCTGTACTGGGGTTTTGTCTGCTTGACTTTGCATGGGTCTTGTGCATGCTGACAACATTGCTGTAGGGTCATATGAGAAGTATTCCAGGAGCTTGTAGGACTCTTATTTCCATATGGTCATGCACCTCCTCCCTGGCTCTTACAATCAACCCCCCCCTTCTGCAATGGTCCCTGAGCCATGGGTGGGTGGATTTTAATATTCTGTTCAAGGACCCGCACTCTGAAGACTCTTATTCTCTACATTTTGGCCATTTGTGACCTTTTGTTTTTCTGGCTCTCTGTTGCATGGGAGACATTTAAATTTTTTGATGCAATTATTTTTATTTTATGTGTATGAGTGTTTTACCTGCATATCTGTAAGTGCACCAGTGCATGCAATGCCTGTGCAGGCCAGAAGAGGGCATTAGGCCCCTTGGAACTGGTGTTAGGAACTGCTGTTAGCCACTATGTGGGTGAACAGAACCCAAGTCCTCTGCAAAAGCAGTTGGTGCTTTTAACCACTGAGCCATCTCTCCAGCCCCTAAGTACAGTTTTGAAATTAAGTATTCAGTCAGTTAATGCTCAGGGACAATTTTCCACATTTAACTTTCTGTAAACCTCATTTTAAATTTGTGGTTTTAAAAAAATGTATTTTTTTTTATGTGTATAAGTGTATTGCCTGTATGTATGTAACCCCAGTTTCAGGGGAATTTGATGCCCTCGTCTGACCTCTGTGGGCATTGCATGACACTGGTGCACTTACATACATGCAGGCAATACACTCATGTACATAAAATAAATAAAAATAACAAATAAAATATTTTTTAAAAAAGAAGAGATTAGGACATAGACACGGGATGAACATGTGAAGAAGCCAGCTGTCGGCAGTGTGCCTCGGACTTCCAACCTCTAGAACTGTGAGGAAAACGTGTCTGGTGGCTCATTTTGGCTGAGCAGCACACTTGCATTGGACAAAGCTCTGAGCCCCAAGCCCAGTTTCCTTCTCTGTGGAACCAGGGTCCCCACGTTGTTGTGACAGTTACTTGGGAGAATGCTCTGCCCCGTCTGGCATGTGGTCCCAGGTCTCTCGGGTTTGGACCTAGCCTGAACCTCTGCTGAGCACACTGGTAAAGGGGTTCCCTTCTCAGCCATTTGCCCTGTGATAAGTCAGTAGTTGGGAGAGATCCATAGGAGTCTTCTGCATGCTTCTGCCCCACTGGATACCACCCATGAGAGTGGCCTCCTGCTGTCCCATACTCCCAAGCCAATGCCTGGGAGCCTTTTGCTGTTAGCGGTGGGAACCAGCCACTGGACTCCACGCAGAGCCAGGAGTCTGTGTCCAGCCAGGAATGAAGTCTGTCTGGGCCAGCTACCCACACCTGCTTCAGGTGAGAACCTTTGGAAATCCCATCCTGAGGACTTTGAGACTGGCAGGGCAGTTCACACCTGCCCACCACAGGGAATGGCCCTGTGCCCTTGTTAAATAGTTTGCAACAGGGCTGTCGATGTGGCTCAGCAGGTAAGAGCACTTGCCATGCAAACCTGATGACTTAAGTTCAATCCCTGAATCCCATGATGGAAGGATGGAAGGAGAGAACCAGCTCTTCTGACTTCCACATGTACTCTGTGGCATTACCCTTCCCTACACAGTAATAAATAAACATTTAAAGAAGTAAACAACTCACAGCAGATAGCTGAGTGAGCACAGGAGTGTGGGGCCTCTGGGGATCTCCCCTGCTAGCTTGTGGGACTCTTGAGCTCCAACCCCAGTTGAGGCAACCTCCTGATTCCAGCCTTCCACTTCCACCCACCCTGGGTGTCTCCAACACAGCCGTGTTTCTTCTCTGAAGTCTGTGCCTCAGGGCCACGGCAGGCAAACAGGATGCTTCTCTCTCACCCACAAAGACTTCAGATGAGACGCAGCACACCGCATCCTGCTATGGGTGCTGGGTCCTCTTTACTAAGGACCCAGGGACAGGAGAAGGAGGTACAGGGAGGAGCCCTCATGGAACTGGCACTTCTAGTCACACTTGGAGCCCCTGTTGTAGACTCTGAGGTGGGCACCTGTAAGTTCACTCTGGGGGCTCCTCCTGCCCAAAGGACTTGAAGTGGTGAGACTAGGACACCTTCTTAACACATTTGTGGGAAGCCAATAAAGAATAACAGTGTCTTTCGTCCCCAGCCTCCTCGCCCTGATAGTTACGATTCTCTTGATTTTTTTTTAGAGTGTTATATTTAAAAAAAAAAAAAATCCTCAAACTTCAGCAAGTTACAGTTACCTCTAGATCACAAAATTGCTACAAAACAGATAACTAACTACTCAGGAGAGCTCGAGCAAGCCTTGAAGGATGCAAGGGAAAGCAGGCCCCAGTTTTAACAGTTTATGGACAACCCAATGTGCTAAATGTTGCCTGGGTGTGACTTCTGCAAAATGGTTGGTTTAGTTCTTCTAGTTCTTCTGCAGCCCTCTTGGGAACATGAAGGTAAAAGATGGAAGGTTCCGGTCCTTTCTGGCAGAAATACCTCCCATCCCCCAAGCAGATTTGCCAAGGCCTTCACATTTGTGTGCTGGGAAAAGGCAAGTTTAAAAGATGTCAGAATTTTACCACCCATTTGACAACCCCACCTGGCAGTGAGTGGCATTCTAGACACCTCTGGAACTTTCCACTCAGCTAAGCATGTGCTGGTGCCCTTCGGAAAGGTGCCTGGTATGCTATGTGGTCCTTATCTTACAGAGTGTCCTGAAAGTTAAGTTGGAAAGTCAGAGAGAGAGCAAGTGATGAGTGTGTCCTATGTCTCAGAAAAAAGCTTCTCTACAGCAGCAGGAAAATGCTTTTTACTTGCGTTTCCTTTCCCTACATATGTTGTAGAGTGAGGGAAAATGGGCAGGAGCTGCTGAGTAGAGGGAGCTCAGCCCAGAAGACAGGAGGTATCTGTGTTAGAGTGAAGCCCTTGGAGCACCTGTGGTGCCAGCAGGTGCCGGCACTCCAGGCTGGGTCAGGGTTCCTGCCCTGGGTACCCTAAAATTGCTCCTTTCCGGAGCACTCAGCCAGCCTGGCCATACAGGAGTTTGCCCTGCTGACTCCCGTTTTCTCTAATGGGATGCAGCTCTGCAGACTCTCTTGCCTGAGATAGCACATCTACTTCCCCACCCCACATTGGGTAAGTCTCCTCTGTCTCTTGTCATAATGATGGGTTTGAGATCTCCAGTGTCACATTTACTGGGATTTTAACATTAGACCTTTTGTTTCTGAGACAAGGTCTCATGTAGCTCAGGCTAGCCTCACATTTACATGTAGCTGAGGCTGACCTCCTGACCCTCCTGCTTCCACCTCCCAAGTGCTAGGATTATAAGTGGGTGCCATCATGCTTGGCCAGTAAAGATTTTTTAAAAATATTTATTGTTTTTACTTTATGTGTATGCGTGTATTGCCTGCATGTAGGTAAGTGCACCTGTGTCATGCAGTGCCCACAGAGGGCAGAAAGACTGTCAGATCCCCTGGAACCAGAGTTACGGATAGCTGCCATGTGGGTGCTGGGATTCGAACCCAGGTCTTTGGCAAGAACAACCAGTGTTCTTAACCACTGAGCCATCTCTCCAGCCCCAATAGTCTTTTTTTAAAAAATGTGTTTATTTTTATTTTATGGCTATGAGTGTTTTCCCTACATGTATGTAAGTGCACCACATGCATGCAGTGCCCATGGAGGCCAGAAGAGGGCATTGGATCCCCTGGAACTGAAGTTTTGGATAGTTGCTAGCTTCTATGTGGATGCTGGGAATCAAACCTGGGTCCTCTGCAAGAGCAGTCAGTGCTCTTAACATCCGAGCCATCTTTTCTAACTCCAATCCTCCCTCAGTAAAGATCCTTAAAGGACATTTTGAGGCAAAAGTGAAAATCGATGTTGCATGTATCTACATTTCCATGGAAAATATGTTCATGCATGTGACTCTCTAAGCTGTAGAGTCCATTGAGATTATTACGTGGTGATTAGAAGTATTCAGGAAATACACCTTGTCTGCTTGTTCAGCACAGTCTTTCCCTAGTGTTCCTTTTATCATCATGATCAGTAGTAGTAGCAGTCGTGTATGTGTGGTATGTATGATGTATGTGTGTGAATGGAGATCAGAGGACAGTTTTTAGAAATCCATTCTCTCCACTGTGGATCCTGGGGCTCGAACTCAGGTCATCAGGCTTAGTGGCAGCACTTTTACCCACTGAAGCATCTTGCTGGCAGCACTAGCATTCTGTGTGTGTGTGTGTGTGTGTGTGTGTGTGTGTGTGTGTGTGTG